AAATATAGCTACTGCATAGACTTCATAGAACCAGGATACAGCTTGGTGTACTGTCGAGCTTGCTCAACGGACCCCTCTGTCCTAAGATGGCGAAACGCCTTTTAAAAACATTTTGACGCCTTTTTAAAAAGAATTGCTAAATTAATAGCATGATCAGTAACCCTACTTGAGCATTACAATCAAAGTCAAATTGTGATTAGTTGTTTAATTAATTAGAAATCAATTTTCGGAAGAACGTCTTTTTCTAAAATGGTCACTACGACAAAACTCGTTTTAATCAATTCTCATAATTGTGAATAAAAAAGGTGCTTTGTCAGCATACGACAAACCTGTCGGAAACACTCACCTTTACCCGTGATCGCTTCTTACTTCCCCTCTTGAGGTTTAAATTTTTTTTTTTTTTTTTTATTTTTTTTTTTTACATATTACAATGATAATGATATTATCCAAGACAAATCACCTGTCTAGATCAACCAATTTTCTCTTCAGAAATGGGTAGCCGTGTTTGACAGTTTCAACAATACAACTGTTTTGTTGTTTTTTTTAGTTCTGACAATTTCAATGGATTGCATTATGTTTCACATCATCGGTAGTCGTTGGAAAAATTCACGTTATTTTCAAATCCAGATCTACTCGTATATATTTTCCGAGGCATCAATAGCACAGGATTAAAAGATGTATATATTTTGTCCAACACAGTAGCAATATGAGGATTCTAAAAGCCTCTCAGCCCTCAACTCCCCACCCCCATTTTTGTACGACCAATTAAAAATAAATAAAAAATTCATGTGCCAGTACAAATAATCAAAGTACTGTTAATTTTAGATGGAATTTACCCAATATTCCGCCATGCTCTAACAACTTGAACACCTTCAGGTTATTCCTACAGCTTTTTACTAAGACCAATGTTGAGCACGTTTTAATAAATCTTAAAAAAAACAAAACATTCTAAACGTAGATCCATATATTATTTTGATTTGAATAAAGATTTTTGTATAAAGTTAGCTGATGCACCACACTGATATTTTAGTCTCCGGTTAAAAAAAAGCACAATTGTGAATATAATCAGAACAATTAATTAAGGTAATAATGTTTTATTATACACCTTATTCTCTCATAGCAAATAATACAACTTCTTCCTGTTCTTAACTTTCTTCACCCCTCTCAAGTCTTACTCGTCAATTCCCACCTTGTCATGGCGAGATATCACTGTTCTAAACGTCATGACTGCACTCATTAGTTCACATAACAAATAATATACGTTATTTATATTTTATTATATTAGTACACAACCGCGATTAAAAGTTCACAGGCTCTGAGCGCTTTACAATACAACAGTAACATGTAATCAGTACATTGTGCTGTGACCAAAAGAAAATTTCTCTTTAAATAATTATAAAAGAAAAATTTATTTTATTTAATTAAAATCAAACACAATTTTAGTTGACATAAGAATGAATTAGGGATTTGATCTGTTTTATACTACTGGGCTATGTATTCCAGATCTAGGGGACTTGAAATTCAAATCTCTTTCCGACATTGTTTTAAGTTTCATAGATGGTTAAAGAAAATATTTCTTTCTGTCAGCTAGTGGCCTCAGTAAGTAAGTAAGTTTATTCAGCACTTAAGGCCATTGGCCCAAATCACATCATATAAATCACATCATAAATCACACCATATGTATCTACGAGTATATAAATCCAGAAGTCTTGGAATCAAATTCCTGCCAGTGGTTGAATGATGAATTTAAAGTGAAATGCATATTCTGTCAGTTTTACTTCTCTTTTCATGCTGAATTTTAATGAAAGTAATATATAATTTATATTTTTTAATGTATATCTGCACGTGATTTTACGGTCCTGTACAGCCAAGAAAACTTTCCCTCTGAGTATTATCTTATCTTTTTGGATCTTAAAACACTCAGGTGATGACCTGAAACTACACACGAAACATACAAAAACCGATGGCAGCGCAATTAATGACTTCCATCACAGAAAGGCACAAGACACCTGCGAAATGAGCAGCGACGCCGACGACAGTACAAGAAGATAGAGCAACATGTCAGAAAATAGTATCATAGTATCATTTTGATATTACTATTATCAGGCATGAGTAGCTTTACGCAATGTTTTCCTTGGTTACCATGCACAGCTCTCTCTCTCTCTCTCTCGTCTTATGCACACCCCGTCACACACACACACACATACATACATGTGTACACATTCACTGATTCCGCCAATATGCACTTTGAAGAATGATTGGGACATGCGGCACGTACAATAGAGGACTCGCCTCCTCGTGTCACGGACTGTGGTTCTAATCTAATTGCATTCCTACGTCTTCTCGAGCACCTCCACTCGCGACCTTTGGTGTCCATTGTTTGTGCAATGAAAGAAAATCCTCGTTACAGACTCCTCGGGTTTGGTGAGGGTGAGGGTGAGGTTGGTGGTGGGGGTGAGGGTGGGGGTGAGGGTG